AGCTAATGTGGGCTGTTGCTTCTGAACGACTGAACAATGTTACTGATTAAAATAAGCTTATAATAAAGGTATTCGGTCAGCTTCAGGACTAGGAAAGACACAGATAGTGTGCCATTATGAAACCATAACTACCAAATAGACAGATATTTATCCTCTAATTGAGGACATGTGATTTACAGATAAGAAAAACATCATGCAGTATTGTTTCAGTTGCTAATCACAACTGTTTACATTTTCACAATAAAGGTGAAGATATCATTTCTCCAGTTGAGAGGCGAGATAATTGCACAGGGAGGCTGTGATTACCAATGTGGATAAATGGTGGTGTGAACAGGGTGAATGTGGACACACAGACACTGTTCTCCCCACTAATAGCTGAATAAACTGCTGTAATCTATCAGCGGCTTGTTTTCTACTTGCTGCTTTTTCTCTCAATACTTACAGGATCACCCTTGCCTTTTCATGGAGACTAAAATGTACACGTATTGTAATAAACGCTGAACAAGCTTCATAAACATTTCCATTTATCTCAGTGTGTCCTACCCACACACACGTCTGATTAAGTTGTTAGCGTGCCAAGCATGGAGGATATAGCTCTAATTAGAGAGTGGTCTCTTTGGGGGTTCTCTCCTTTAATGATCACCACACTAATCAAAGCTGCTTTTCCTTGTCTTTTATTTCTCTCTTTGTTCACTGCTGCTCCTCCATGTCTTGCCACACACAACACTAAACTCCCTCTTTGCTTCTCCCCCCATCCTTCTTTTCCTGTGCCATGATTTGAAGGTCCTTGAAAATCAAGAAATGTCAGCAGGTGCAATTATGGTTATTTCTGCTCCAGTTGTCCCTATGTTCCACAGAAAAAGTATTTCATTTAGTTTGGCCTGCACTATCTTTCTCCTTCTGTTGGTCACTCCCATGTGGGAACAGGTTGGACGAGAGCCAAGTCCTTGCACCTGTCCCTCAAAGAGACACACACACACACACACACACACACACACACACACACACACACACACACACACACACACACACACACACACAGCATCCTGCATTGTCAAGGTTATAAGATAGCATAGCAGCGTCGCAGCAGGAGGCAGAGGGGAGGGAGAGGAGCATGCAGACAAGTGGTTGGAAGAAAAAGCGGGGTGTTGAGAAATGAAACCTGTAATGATGCTGGGGGAGACTCATGAGCAGCAAGCGAGGGGAAATGATGGGGAAAAAACGAGGGAGACGAAGAGAGAATGGAGAGGAAGAGGGATGGAGGGCTGCATGTCCTCCCCCATCCTTAGGCACATGCTATTCAAAGCCCAGTAATTTGCGTCATTAATTAAAATGCTGATGGGATGGAGTTAAGGGGTTTGCACTCTGCAACTCCTCAGCGGGGAGAGAAAGGAGGAAGAGGGGGAGAAATATTGCAAAAAATATTACAGTCATTCCACCATGAATCTCTATTAGCGGCTAATGATACCATTCTGATACCTCTCAACCATTAGTGTGAAATTGGGAAGCGTTAATTATTCAAATAAAAATCCATACGGCTGCCGCTCACATGACAGGGTCACTCTCCTCTTTGTTAGCGGCTCAGCGGGGGCCTGAAGCACGGAGACTCTACAATAAGTATGCAGAGCAACTTCGCACGTGGAAATTATATTTGACATTATGCATTATCTGAACAACTACAGTGCAGACTGCATTGTGCACTGACGGTATAATAGGATTTTATAAGGTATGCTATGGCTGAGCAGCACTGTCTACCTTTATTAAGTGCTGCTGTAGTTTTTCATTGTAATGATAATTATTAGATGTGTGAATCTTTCTCTATATCACAATTCAATTAGATTATTAGGTGCAGGTTTTGATTCAAACTCATTAAGTGGTTCATAAGTAGCTGATTGCAGGATGTACTCCAGTCAAATGTGTGCAAATAAAGGGGGTGCGGTAAAAATAGCATGAAAGCAGGGTAAGCTTTACAAAAGATGACATGTATTGCTAAACTTGCACAAATACACACATTTGAATAAAAAATAACTTCACATTCTAAAAAATCTAAATTCTGTTCCGCATGCAACACAATACGTTTTAAGGCTTTGGCTTGCTGTCTTTTTATTTCTCACTAAATAGTGTATGATAACTGGCAACTAGTAGTACAATGCAGCTTCTTTGAGGGTAAAAACCTTTTCAAATAATATTTTCAAAGCTGTACATGATTTTTCCCCAAACCCAAAATAATTTTCAACCTCAGAAACATTTGATTTCAAAGGGGAGCCGTGATACCGGTTGCTTCTGTTCAGTTTATTGCATTTGGTAACGACAGCTTGACCAATTAGGTGAGCTGCAGCCTCGTCCAGCTTTTGGAAGCTACTGACTGTTCCACGCTGCACACACTTTACTGGCTTTATTACTCAGTTATTGTTTTGCCCAAAATCTGTTGCCAGAGCTCAGTCCAAGCAATGCATTCACTTAAACTGTGACCTGCTGCACGATTATCTGGATGGCTGTTTCCAGATCTGTGCAAACACAAACTGGAAGAAAAACAGCAATTTACACAGATATTAAAATATAAATGACCTGTTTTTAGATCTGCAGGAGCTTTCTATGGCTGGGCTCTTCTTGAGATCTCGGACATTTCCGTATTTTTGGGAAAATGTTCATAAGATGAGCCTTGTGATGCTATGAGACATCCAACTGCCAAGACTTTTTTCTTTTACCATCAATTAGTGCAATTACTTGTTTGCATTATGTGCAAACGCTGTGTATTTTCATCATCAGGAAAAGGCTTTATTTAAGTGCTTATGAATAGAAGATAATGTATTGTGAGCCAATGCATGAGCTTTGGAAGAGAGACCCTTTCACAGACGTGAGGGCAGCTCTGAAAGCCCCTTCATTTTTTATTTGTGGGTATATTTTTTTAATAGTTTCAATGCTTTCATACATCAGAGAGGAAGAGGCAGAGAAGAGGATGAGAGAGAGAGCTAAGTGCTTTTTAGTGACTCAATGACAGCCGTGACCAAAATCGCATTAAGGTCACAATGGTAGTGGAGGGGTGGAGTAAAGAAGGCTCTCGAATGAATCAATTCTCCGTGTCGCTCTGCTCTCGGCTTTCCTCTCTGGATTTCCAGGCTCCTATCACAGGTGGTGCTGTGTTTGGTGTGACGTAAATACTTATTCTGAGTGATCCTGAGGTGACCTTGCTGCATCCAGCGGCGTTTCATGCTCACATTCATACTTGACGGGGATTTCATCCAAATCCTTCCCTCCCTCCTTCCAGGCAATGTACCACTCATCACATCCCCTAATGCCTTTTTCTATAGATCATTACCCCGCTCCCCCCTTGACATGTTAGCAATCGCTCAATCAGAGATGCCGGCCTCCCCTCGGCCTCCCAGTTGTGTGTCCGCAGCTCATGGGAGGTGAGGGGGGGGCGTCGTCACTTTGATTTGATCGATAGCGTCCACGTGCCTTTTTACAGTTTTGGGCAGATTTGAGTTGCAGTGGTGCTGATGGAGGTGTAGCCCTGAGCTCTGTATGGACTTATCGTGTTGATGAGGTGCTGTACCAGTGTACAGTTTTATTATCTGTCACCCCCCCCCCACCTACCCCTCCTTCTCCCACCAACACTACTGTTTTCGGCTTTCCCTCGCCTGACCCAGCTCCAGCGCCTTGCATTATGATTGTTCTCCTCTAATAACTTCCCCATCTCTCAAACTCTAGCCCACCCACTGACCTCCATCCCTCCCCTCAGCCACTCTCTCCATTTGGAGGAGAGGACTCTTGTAAGCCCTGGTAACAGAGGTTAATCCTCTCTTATTAGAGGCAGGATTACTGCAGGGGAAGGGGACAGGAGCAGAGAAAATACCAGGACTAACAGAAAAAAGTGTGTCCAGAGAGGAGGGAGTTTAGATGGACTAACCACTGCCATTTCTCTACAGGCTCTGAGAATACATGTTAGAATCACTTAACCCTGCAGCCATTTGCAGTCGCATTTTAAACAAACAAAATACAGTTTTGTTTTCCTCTATTGACTGTTTGCAAGGGCATACTGCATTTTTAAAGCTGATGCACATCATATACTTATCAGCAAGAAACAGATATTTCTACGTAGGAGACAAAAACATTGCACATAAAAAACAATTGTTCATGCTCTATTTTGAGATCTCGGGACGTTTTTCTCTCATATTCTTAGAAAGGAAACATCCAAAATCCACATTAAGGAGTATATGTTTCCAACATTTTCTATTTCTGTCTGCCGATTTCTCCTTAATTCAACAAAAGTGAGCATTACATAATGCCTCATTTGCATATTTAAACATAACATTTAATGAAACTTGTAAAACATAATTGTCCTAATGTACTTGCGGTAATGTCTTGCATGTGCACTAAATGCAATTTTCTAATGGCTGATGTTATTTTTGAGATGCATGGAGTGATCCAAATGTTTGCAATTTGGCACTTCTTTAATGAGGTAATGCCTCATTTCTATAATAAATCATACCATTTCAAACATTGTTACAAATAATATTTGACTTATTGTAAGTTATTTACTGGGGTGGTTTTATGATGAAATGTGTTAGTTATAGCAGTCAACAATGAAGATATTCTAAATGATTTGAACCATTGAAAATATCACATCATGTATTTAGCTTCATCAGTCTATTGGGTAAAAAATAACATTATTAGCCTATCTATGGGAAGTGTGAAATCCGCATTTTTATTTCATGCAATTTTACCTCAAATTCATAAGCTTTCTTCTAAGTGGCCATATGGTTATTTTCTGGAGAAGTCACGTCTGTTTTACAATTTGCTATCACTGCAATTTCAAAACCTGAATAACCTGTCTTTCTTCCTACAGGCCCATGTTAACCACTGTTTCTCTTCCTTCTTTAAAGCTAGTGATTGGATGCTGTGTATTACTAACCATGCTCTTCTTGCACAGTTGTGTGATCACATTATTAATCTGTTCTCTTTCTTTCTCTCTCTTTTCCCTTCACGCCTAAAAATAGAAGTGGAACAAAAAGGTAACTAAATGCCAACAACTTTTGTTTCACCTGCATTCTCATCTGGGTGTAGGCTTGCTTTTTTTTTTTTTTTAACGGTGACGGGTGCTCAAGCAGGACATGTTGTACGTCTGTGCTCATTGTTTGTCATGCATGCCCTTCATGGGGAAACTGGACCTTCACTCATCAACGTTTTGTGACACATATATGATGGTTATTTAAGGTAAGGTCATTACAATCTTGCAGTAAAGTAACCCTGGGGTGTTTTTACCCTCCCTTATAACTGAAGATTATTCCCGCTCTGCTTTATCAGCTCCATAATATTAAAGCAGAGGCTGATCAATACTCTGTCCAATAAGCTGTCACCATTTTTGATTATAGCTCTAACATGATGATGGCTATAACCTTCAGGGACTCTCTTGTCAATACTGGAAACAGATCATAGCAATCTTCCTTTATCAGCGCTGCATGATGCTGCATAACACCACATCCACATGGTGCATTGTGGGTACGCTTCATCTGCAGATTTGGATTAAAGTCAAACATGGAAATGGAGTCATTAAAACAAGAGTGAAAGGTTCTGCTTTAATAGCGCTGCAATACATTTAAGGTTTCATTGTAGTCATGAATTAATGACACATCACTTAAACCTTTGTCAGAGAGCGTGAGCGATGAAGCTGGAGGGCGGGGTCAAAAGATTTTATGGAGATGTTTTCTGTCAAATTCCCCTATGAAAGCCAAGATTGCTTTTGTATCACATCCATTTCACTTTCACCTCCTTTAAAAAGCACATATTACAAAGCTCACCTACTCTGAACTCTTGCTCATCCTCATCCGTAGAAACATCTTTAGAAACATCCCCCTGAGCATTTAGTGAGATGTGCCATGTCAACGGGAAGCTTCTCGCCACGTCTTCCTCCTGCAGGGAGACAATATGTTAAGTCTTCAGAGAGGAGGAGGGAGAAAGCCTCTGTTATAGCTGTCTCCTTCTTCTCCTCCTCTTCCTCGCTGCTTTTACTTCTCCATGCATCTGCATCCGGAGAACCTGTCACACTGTGTCGGGTCATTACAGAGAAAGCACCCTTCACACACTTTGTTTTTATGGGATTTACTTTCGAACGAAACGTGGAAAAATAGGAAAGCTGTCTTCTTTTGCTTTCCGACTTACTTTTCCTGTACCTTCAGGATTATACCTTTATGTATTAATACTCTGACTTTTAAGACAGTATAATCCTGTATTCAAAAGAGGTATTTTCAGAAAGACGGAGCGTTATAATTGCCTGAGTGGAAGGTAATCCATAATGAACTGAAATGAGTTTCCGCACACCGTGTCCACTCACTATTGACCCGCTGCAGCTGCACTGCCCGGCCCAGCCTTATCAGATTTCAGCACAAACCAGTTCACATATAATTAGTTTACTGCGCGGTGTTGTAAATCATGCCGCAGACCAAAAATGTCATGTGGGTGAAATAATGGACAGGCAATCATTATATGGATGATGTAATTACTGTTTTTCTATCTTTTGTCTTCTTTCTCCTGCCTCAGACAATAATCCCAGTGTAGCAAGTTATTATAATGTTTTAACTTTGACTTTTTATGACTATTTATTAACAACCTGGGTGTTTTTCTCCTCTGGTGCTGTTATATTTAATATAGAAGATATTTATTCTAACATCTATATTGGCCACCATAACAGAATGAGTCAAACACATTTCAACAGCCCAAAACACTTCCATTAGGAGTTAACTTGCTGCAGCTTCAGAAAAGTAGCAAATATAAAAACTTACATTTGCAAAAAACGCATGAAGAAACATCTTCACCGCCTTGACGAAACATGTGCAGTGTTTACTAAGATCTCTGTTTTAACAAAACGCTGCGAGGAGTAATTGTAGGTGTTTGGTCAGTAGGCTATATTTGAAATGACCAGGTTAGCTTTCAACTAGCTTGCTCACAGCGGATCTGGAATAATACCGGAGGGAATCATGTGATCACATTGTCAAAACATTTGCCAATTGAACCTACATTTTAGGTACGTTTCTAGTGACAGTGATTTTCATCCAATTTATAATCGCCGAATGTCAACAAGTGCTCCGGTCCCAGCTGTGTGCATCACTTTTTAGTGTCCCTTGGTTTCCGTTGTGTTTTGTTTTTGCAGCGTTTCATTTTTGAAGTGCTTTGAATTACCGCTGCACACGTTTCATCAACTTGGTGAACGGTTTCTTAATGTGTTTCAACATCATTTCCTGTCTTGTTTCTGCTTTACAATAATGTAAATGAAATAACCCTCACTTCATCTTTTCTCCGTCTGTTTTTCCAATGGCATTGTGAACCAATTGCCTTTAGGCTCAGCGTAAATGAACTAGAAGTGTTGTATACAGAATTTTTAAACTGCAATAAGTAACTGAAACCAGATGAGCACTTTGAGTAATTTGAGACGTGGATACAAATAATACAAAATGTTGCTTTTGGTGAATAGTTGTTTAATTTAAATGTACATGCTTTGTTAGACTAATCTATTAATATGTACTGCATTTAATCCCAACCTTGCTGACTTAATATCTCACAGTGTGGAAGATTAAGCTGCAGGTTTCATCCATTTTCAGTGTTTACCTCCTGGAGGTTTAATACCTGCCAATGTAACTCTGTACTTGTCTTTCCCCTCTTTTGGCTCCTCAGTCTTCCTGTGCCCAGGGCTTCTGCGCAGGGTGTACCAGAGCGAGCACCTCTTCGAGTCGGACCACCAGTCTGGAGCATGGTGCAAAGACCCGCTGCAGGCCTCCGATAAGATCTACTACATGCCCTGGACCCCGTACCGCACCGACACGTTGACCGAGTACTCCTCCAAAGAGGACTTCATCGCCGGGAGGCCGACCACCACCTACAAGCTGCCGCACCGCGTGGACGGGACCGGCTTTGTCGTGTACGACGGGGCGCTTTTCTTCAACAAGGAGCGCACACGCAACATCGTCAAGTTTGACCTGCGGACTCGAATCAAGAGCGGCGAGGCCATCATCGCCAACGCCAACTACCACGACACCTCTCCCTACCGCTGGGGGGGGAAGTCGGACATTGACCTAGCTGTGGATGAGAACGGCCTCTGGGTGATTTACGCCACCGAGCAGAACAACGGGCGCATCGTCATCAGCCAGCTGAACCCCTACACATTACGCGTGGAGGGCACCTGGGACACGGCCTACGACAAGCGCTCAGCCTCCAACGCCTTCATGATCTGTGGGATCCTCTACGTGGTGAAGTCCGTGTACGAGGATGACGACAACGAGGCCACAGGAAACAAGATCGACTACATCTACAACACGGAGCTGAGCAAAGACGGCTTCCTGGACATCCCCTTCCCCAACTCCTACCAGTACATCGCAGCCGTGGATTACAATCCCAGAGACAACCTGCTGTACGTCTGGAACAACTACCATGTGGTCAAATACTCTCTGGACTTTGGAGCGCTGGACAACAGGCTTGGTAAGAACAGCTCATTTCTTTTTTTCTTTATGCAATCTGTTTTGAAGACGTTTTCCGGTCAGAGGAAATTCATTGGTTCCATTGGCAAAGGGGGAGCAACACAACCACATATTTATGTTATGAAGGTTATGTATTTCTAGATGCCATACATACATTTTGCCTTGCAAGTTCAAGATCCTAACATTCTTTTTTTTGGCAGAAAATGACTTATTTCATCTTGCCACACCCTAAGACCAATTTTGAGACTAAGTACTTGAAAGGCTCTTAGAAAAATCTCCAATATCTTCTACTTGTTGTTCGTTCTGACTCACTTTTCTATTGTTGGATGCAAAGAGCAGCTTGGCATTGCAAGCTGTTAAACTCAAAGTCTTGTTTTTTATTAATAATTTGAGTATTTTCAAGAAAAACATTGAAATACATTTAACTAATGAAGCACCTCAACACAATGTGGGCTAATGTGTATAAGTGAATTGCCTAAATTAAAGTAAATGTATATAAATTATTAGAATACAATTGTAGTTAGCATTCATATGATCAGCTTTATTAATTCTCATTTAATGATATAAGAAAATATTTGTAATTCACACACATAAAGCTGACTAAATGATCTAGAAGTCTTGACACATTGGGGGTTTAACACTAAGTATTTCACATTTCGTGTCTCACGCATATGCTTTGCCTCTCTCTAGCTGTTCCTTCTGCAGAGAAACAAGCGACTGCACAGATCAGACTTCCAAAAACTCTTTTGAAAAGTCTAATTTCTCCCCTCCATTGTTCTTTTTATAAATTGCTGCTTGTTGTGAAGCATGAAACGGGGAGGAAAAAACCTGTTTTGACACACCATGGTAATTCTTTGCGCTATCTCATCAACAGCTCCAGTCAAAAATGTCACAAGTTGTTTGAGTGTGAAGTCCCTACCTCTGCTTTCTCTACCTGCAGCCTGCCAGATTAATTAATTTTTCTCCGCTGGTTTCATACACCGAGTCCTGCTTCAACACACTTCGTCATATATTCTTTCATTCAGTGGCCACGCTCACACTGTTTGCTTATGATGCTACCAGTAATATCATTTGTTGTCGTTAAGGAGAGTGAAATGCTGTTTTTATATGCTTTCAGCTTTAAATGATTCCCCATCATTTTTAACAGTTAATCACACGCACGTGAGTGTACACACATGCACAGGCATAATTCAGATTCCCAGCAGCAGATGTTGAGTTGTGTGTTGGCTGCAGAACAGAGTGCCCTCTAAAGAGGCTGCTGTATGAATATAGATTGTTAAACGCTGCATTAACAAGATGTATAGAGTCTAATACCAAATACAAATGTCAAATAAACAGGCTGGGAAGAAATGAAAGACTGATTGAATAGACTGTAAATAATTGCATTTCCTAAATACAGAAACGGGCTGTATTCCGGGTAAAGGCAGTGTTTTTCTCTATGCATATTTTCACACAATTATCTCACAATGAGCCTGATTGTGAGATTGTATGATAGCTTTAGCACAATATCAGTTAAATCAGCATCAGTGTAAGCACTTCACAACACACACATTAGTCTGTATTTGCTGCTGAGTGACCATGTCTGAACAATTTATATGCAATGACACATGGACAAGCTACATTTGACGAGGAAAGCTGCAGTAATAGAAACAATGAATGTGAAAAAGCCACACATGTTTGGAAGATACACCAATAAACTAAATATGTGTACTAGTTTACATTGAGTTAAGTTAAGAATATAAATAGGAAACATGAAGTGTGCTAAGAGTTCAAATGCAATGTAGAACTTTCCTTCGCTGCAAACTTGAGCTTTTTAATTGGATCAATGTGCCTGTTAACAAACTCAGAAAGGTGCCAGTCTGATCGCTCCAACACGAGCTCATTTCCACCTCCATAAGCATGCATGACCTGCTGTATCAGTGCAGCATGGTATTTGTGAAGCAGAGAAACATGTCCTGGCTGCAGCCTGGGCCTGCTGCCATGCTCCCATCCACAGCACCTGCTGCAGGGCAGGAGGCTGGCACAGGGCGATCATATGTGGGATTGCTCAAAAACACAAGATATGAACTGGTGCTTTACCTCACTAAAAGAACAAAGCAATATGAAAACATTCAAATGCAATGCACCAAAAAAGAGCATATTGTTCTGCATTTGCAATATTCCCCACTCTTTGCTGAATTATCTTCAACAGGCTGTTTTCAAGGACAGATGATCTATCCCTAAAAGTGCTTCCATGACAACTACATTGATCATCAAAATTCACTGAATTGGTAATAGAATAAGTGCAGGGGAAAAAAGCTATTAGCAGGCACATGATTAAAAGAAAAACTCCACTCTTCATGATCACATATATGCAAGGATGACTGGAACATGTCTCTATGATAGTTTTTAAAAACATAAAAGAAGGAAACAGCACACAATACTTGAATAGCGAGTTGACAAAAAATACACAGTGCGTTCAGGAAATCGAAATGTTGCCAACTCATTTTCACTTGCCACCGTGTCCTCGCTGGAGGTCGTAGATCTTCAGACAGTTGTGCAGATTCAATGTCTCTGAACTCACTCTGACCTAGTTCTTAATATTCGCCTTTTAGAGATTTCTCACCTCCTCCACCAAGGACAAACTGCAGAGGCAGAGCAAACACCTCTGATTGGAAAAGTTGCACAAAGTCAGAGTCAAGATAGCGAGGAGTATCATTTCTAGAAAATTAGCCTTGAACAAAAACTACTCCATCAACACCAGCACATAATGAGAGCTTGTTACTGAAAACATGACAATGCTCAGCAAAACATCCATTCTCTGAAGCCTTTGTCTCCGTGCAGTGTCACGGGTCAACAATAATATGATGCTCTGTGTGATGATGCTTCTGTATGCGCTCAGTTTTGTAGCCTTTGTTTGAGATGTTTTTATCTCTCTGTGCCAATATATGCTAACTGGATTTAAATCATATAAGCGGAGGGTGTGTGCAGCGACTCAGACATGCAGTATTGTTTCGCCTGGAGACATTGCTCCTGGCCTCGGCTTTGGCAGAATTACCTCTGAGCCGCCTGCCACACAGAAAATGACCCTGAGTCCCACACACCTGCTGCTGCAGAGAAATAACATCCATACATCATGTGTAAGCTTAGATGCAGTTTCTTTATCCCGGAGAATAGTGCAGCAATCTATTTGTGCTGTTGTTGTTGTTGCCTCGGTATGAGTTGTTCCCATCCTCTCACATTTCAGTGACAGTGATTCTTTTGTTGGCTCGTGATTGGCTCACAGTTGGTGTCATAGATTCATTCCCCGTCTGTCGGCCCTGTAATGTTGCCACATGTTGCCATCTGTCGGGGGCGGCGTGCCAGCCCTGCCGACGTGCCCCCCCCGACCTCCATGCCCAAACAGCCGATGTTTGGGAGGCTCAGGCCCGTCTTGGCTCTCTTTGGAAGAGCCTGACACATGCTAAATTGATTAAGAGTGTCTAAGTAGTAAATGCATGCTGGCAGAGTCTGCTGGAGATAATCTGAGTGTGACTCAGTGCTCTTAAAGCCACACTGATGTCCTCTGGGGGCTTCACCCTGTGGCCTTCCAGTGTATGTGTTTTTATTAGTGTATAGATTCAAGAGACACCCTGCAGGTTTCATCATTCAACATTTTTCATTTCTTGATTATAATATAAAGCTTTAATTAATGTCTCTTAGCAATTCAAACTAAATGCTACTTTTGACAATAACATTATTCTGCATGCTGCATGACGCCCATTTGATGTAGAGCTTTAAAAATGTAGGCTACATGCTTATTTGCAGGATACACACTATCACATGCCTCCTGCACTTCCTGCGGAGGGCAATTTTCTTCCAGGGAAAGTGTTATGTTTAGGATTATAGTTGAGAACGATTTTTCTAACACACACACACACACACACACACACACACACACACACACACATGCACAAGCCCTTTAATGCTGCAACACAATAGGGCTCTGTTAGTAATGCAGCTTTACATTTTTTCAGCACGGAATCAGGGAGCACTTTGTTGCTGCTTCGGAGCCCCTTTAAATCTTCCTGCTCCCTAGAAACATTTGTAAAATATTTTCAAAAATAATCCTAGTGATCCTGGTAACCTTACTTGGTATTTAGGTTTTTGAAGGAAGCCCCTGTCTCATGGTTCAGCATGAGGCATGTTCTGTGTGATACATCATTACACGTCACATGATTTTGTCTGGTGTCCCTGCTGCTGGCGGGACATCCATCACAAGCTCCACCTTGATCCAGAAATCATACACAGATCAGCTGTGTAGTGAGAGGGGTGGCAGGCAATCCCTCAATTAAGGCCAACACACTATCCATCTCCCTGACATGTGCAGAAATGGGAAAAAATGTGCTTATCAAAGTCCCTTATCTCATGTAGAACGTTGTGGTTGACTGGGGATTATTAGGACGGGCTGCATTGGTATTTTTTTGTGCCATTTTCAAAGTTTTCAAATGTAGCCGATTTCTGTGCAGTGTGTACGGTGAGCAGGATTTGGCACTTCAGTAATACCAAACTCAAAATGTGTGTAACTAGAGCTCCACTTTACAGGATATTCTCTTCCAAACTATGTATATGTCTGCCAATTTCCTCCAGAGTGCCAAATGTGCCACATAATATTTAACGGGCTTGGTGACACACCAGCTCAAAGTGATTGATTTTGGCCAATCAGTGAAGTAAATGTGATTGGAGGCCTCTGCAGCATCTTCAACTCTCATTATCAACAGAGTCACAGATATTCCTTTTTGGCCCGTTTGGTTGACAGTATTTTGAAAAGCCCTTCTTGAGGTTTTTTTTTTTTTGGAGAGGCCATTGAGGACTTTCCCCTTAGTCGGTCTGAAATGTGCTCACACTCTTTCCTCCTCTTGCCTCCGCCAAAACAATTGACGATGTTTGGCCTTGTCAGAAGATGGAGACTGGAGCTTTGGCTCTTAGAATACAAAAGGAATCCAACATTCTCTTCGCTAGGAAAATATTTTGCAGTGTGAC